CCCAGCGAACCTTCGTGAACCCCTACTGTGTTCCGAACACAAAGAGGAAGAGGCCCAGATTTTTACTTCAAAGACTTCACCACGTGGAAGATAGAAAGGAACCCAGACGACTAGAACAGAGAACAATATGCACACCAGTCAGCATAAGTAGAAGGCACAGAACAAGCTCATGGGCGGGAAGAATGAGTTGTGGGGTGGACACTGAACCAATCTGGTCAGCTTCCAGAGGAAGGGAGATGCCATCTCCCAATATAGAAGGGGAAATACATTTCAGACTGAGGGGCAGTAGAAGCCCAAGCAAGAAGTTGGCAAACATGTGGTTTCAGGAAATACCACGAGTGCTGCATGACTGGTATGTGCGGCAAGTGTGAGGAAGGAAGAGCTTGAGATGTGACTCACAAAAGAGTACATGGTACTTAGGAGTTAGCACCTACCTGACGGTAGTCAGTGAGTGAGGGCCTAAGAGAGTGAGTGAGTAAGAGAGTGAATGAGTGAGTGAGAGAGAGAGAGAGAGAGAGAGAGTGAGTGAGTGACTGTGAATGAGTGAGTGTGAGTGAGTAAGATAGGGAATGGGAGAATGAGTGAGTGAGAGTGAGTGAGTAAGAGAGTAGTGAGTGAGAGAGAGAATGACTGAGTGAAAAGAGAGTGAGTGAGGTAGTGAGTAAGAGAGTAGTGAGTAATAGAGTAGTGAGAGAGTGAGAGAATGAGTGAGTGAATAAGAGAGTGAGTGAGGTAGTGAGTGAGAGTAGTGAGTAATAGAGTAGTGAGAGAGTGAGAGAATGAGTGAGTGAATAAGAGAGTGAGTGAGGTAGTGAGTAAGAGTAGTGAGTAATAGAGTAGTGAGAGAGTGAGAGAATGAGTGAGTGAATAAGAGAGTGAGTGAGGTAGTGAGTAAGAGAGTAGTAAGAGAGTAGTGAGTGAGTGAGTGAGAGAGGGAGTGAGAGAATGAGTGAGTGAGAGTGAGTGAGTAAAAGAGTAGTGAGTAAGAGAGTAGTGTGTGAGTGAGAGAATGAGTGAGTGAATAAGAGAGTGAGTGAGGCAATGAGTAAGAGAGTAGTGAGTGAGTGAGAGAATGAGTGAGTGAGTAAGAGAGTGAGTGAGGTAGTGAGTGGGTAAGAGAGTAGTGAGTAAGAGAGTGAGTGAGAGAATGAGTGAGTGAATAAGAGAGTGAGTGAGGTAGTGAGTGAGTAAGAGAGTAGTGAGTAAGAGAGTGAGTGAGTAAGAGAATGACTGAGTGAGGGTGAGTGAGTGAGTAAGAGAATGACTGAGTGAGGGAGTCTAGGATCTTCTGTGAGAGATCTAGGTCCCGCTGGTGCCAATTGCCCCCCATGAGTAAGATGAGACTAGACTAGACTAGACCTATAAAGATTCACAGCCTGGGAAACCCTATATGAGATCACTATGAGTTGGCATCAACTCATGGCAGTGGGCTTGGGTTTGGAGGATCAGGGCCGGCACCTCCCGTTACTGCTCTCCCTATGCCAAGAATGCAGGCACTCTTCCCATCTGAGAAGAACCGCACCCTTGCGTTAGACTGCCAGTGGTCCACCGAGCAGACGTGAGAGTGGAAGCATGGGCGCTGAGCGATTGCCGGGCTCATGGGGGACAGTGCTGGTCTGTTACCTGGAACACCCCCTCCTCGGAGGGCTGCAGGGATTCCCATTCAGGTGAGTCCATGAACTGGTAGGGAAAGATGTAGTGAAGAAACTGCCCCTCCTGGCTCACACGCACCCTGCCAAAGGGAGAGAAGAGACAGTGTGGGAAAAAGGAAATGGCGGCGCAAACCCCCTTCACTGAGGTTGCATTCCTGGTCAACGTGGCTCTTCCAGCAAAACTGCCTGTGCAAAATCCAGAGCAGAAGTAGCTTGATTATTGCCTGGAAGGAGATCCCATCAGGATTTCTCAAGGCCTCACATGCCTTCTTATTACCAGTGGTCCTCAAGTTCAAGCTGCCCAGCAGAAGCCCTGGGAGAACTTAAGAAAGGACACCAGCAATCAAACCTCCAGGCTTGCCTTTATCCCTGAACAATTAAGCAAGAATCTCTGTAGATGGAATCTGGATATTAATTTTTTTTTAATCTCCCCAGGTGGTCCCCATGTGTAGTCAGAATGAAGCATCCCTGCTCTGGAGCGCCACTCGGAAACACGGTGGCCACTAACCACATGCAGCCCACGGAAGCAGCAGCTCCTGAAGTTGTGTTATATGTCTTTCTGTTGTTCAAGAAATTAAACCCAGGATGGATGAACCTACAGGGACAGCACGTAGAATAAGGGTTTCGGGGGAGAGGGGGTGTACAGGGATGGTGGTGCAGTGGCAGTAAAAGGGAAACAATGTCAAGGAATCCAGGAAGAAAAAGTATGTTTGGAAACTGACCGTGGAAGCAATGGAACAATTCTGCTTGATGTGATTGAACTATGGAATGATATATATTTTAGCTCTCAATTAATAGCAAATTTAAAAACAAAACATAGATCCAGGAGTGGGCTTTGGCTCGCACTAAATCCTAGCTCCAACTTAAGAAAAATTAGTTCTTACATCATGGTCCTGCTTGATACTCGCCCTCAGGAAGGGAACACAGAAGATACGGGTGCTATAGCAAAGTGTGGCGAGGAATCTAGATGGTGCCCAGGTGTGAGGTAAAATAACATCCGGGGTCTTAAAGGCTTGTCTCCAAATCAGTAGCTATCTAAGTGAGATGTCAACTAAGGCCACGTTGAAGAAGCACACCAATATCAGTCACCAAAGGATTATAAATCATATAATCCAAAGTAGAAGGAGGAGATAGTATCGGAGACGAAATTGTGAGAATCTGGCTTGCAGAGGCTATGGATGACAGTGGAGCCTGAGACTCGTTTGTGGGAACTACAGAGGAAACAGAGCTACGGTGAACTCCCTCTGTCCACAACTGAGGACGGGAGGAAAGGGGTTACTAATCAGAGTGCATTGGAGAGATAATGTAGAAGATCAAAGGCATAAATCTGACTTGAACAGTTAAAACTTTATCCGTTAATCCCCCCTCGTAGGCATGCTGGACCTGATCTAGTTTTGAACATTTTCTGTATTTTTGTTTGTTCATAGTGTATCTCAGAGGTCTTATGTCACTGGAGGTTACCTCCATGAAGTTGTATTATACGTTTTTTGTGTGTTTCGGTGTATGAAACCCAAGACTGAGGAGCCTATAGGAACAGCGAGTGAAATAAGGGTTTGGGGGTGGGAGGCACATGGTGGTGGCGGGATGGGAAAAGGGAGATGATGTCAGCGAGTCCAGGAAGAAATAGAATGTTTGGAAATCGATTTTGGTAGCCATTGTACAATTCTGCGTGACGTGACTGAACTATGGAATTATCTGAGAGAAGTATTAATTCCCAATTAATAATCATTTTAAAAAGAAATAAAATGATATATTCCACTGGGGAAATCTGCTGCAAAAGACATCTATAAAGTGTTAAAAAAAAAAGAAAAGAAAAAGCAAGGATTCCACTTTGAGGACTGAGGTGCACCTGGCCTAAGCCATGGTACTTTCAATTGCCTCACGTGTATGCAAAAGCAATGAATGTAAGAGCCCCCAATAAAAATGATTTTTAAAAAAATGGGTGATGAATATAGAAAACTGAAGAAGAGTTGATACAGTCGAATTATGGTGTTGGCAAAAAAATATTGTATTACCACGGTCATAAGATATTGCCTATTATTTGATCATCTAAAGATGGAGGTCAGAGGGGACAGGTGTCAAGCAAAGGTAAGAATCAGTCTATAGCCTCCAGTGACAGAGGTGCAGATGCCCCATAAGACAGATAACATACACTGCCCAGCGGCACTTCCTTGGGGCATGAGAGAACACAAGAGAAGATGAAGTGCCGGGGCTTCCTGCCTTAGGGTCATCACATGTGCTGTCCCTTCCAGTGGAACCTTTCCCTCAAACCCACCTTCTCCTCGGCGCACACAGCCTTTCTTTCGAGAAGACTTGTCCGACCTCTCCTCTTCCTCACTCACTGCCATCTAGCTGACTCCGACTAGTGAACATCTGGGACAGAGGAGGATTGCCCGCGTGTGTTTCTGGGAAGGTAAATCTTCACAGGAGTACACAGCCTTCAGAAAAGGTAAATCCCTGATTATAGGCTTCACCATACTCTGTGTTTCTTCCCAGAAATACTATATCCAATACTTATCAGCATGCCATACCTTAATTCCCGGTGCTTAATTGACAGACTTTAAGCTCCATGGGTGCCAGGAAGCGCGTGCGTGCGTGCGTGCGTGCGTGTGTGTGTGTGTGTGTGTGTGTGTATAGTATTTAACACTGGATCCCCGTTCCTATCATGTTACTTATAATACTTATCTGTAGAAGGAAAGAAGGAAAGGAGGGGGGCAGGAAATGAAGAAGCTAAGGAAAACACTTTATTATATCACTATAAAACTCCCAAACTCCCTGCCACCTAGTCCATTCCAATTCATAGGGACCCTATAAAACAAGGCAGAACTGCTTCCTGTGGTTTTCTGAGGCTGTAAATCTTTATGGGAGTAGAAAGCCTCATCTTTCTCCCAAAGAGTGGCTGGTGGTTGTGAACTGCCAACCTTGTGGTGAGCAGCCCAACACGTAACCCACAGCACCACCAGGGCTCCGGTAAAAGGAGTCCACAATATCAAAGAAAGGCTTTTCTAAGAAAGAAAAGAGAAAACCTCCTACAACGTACGCCGCAGCCTCACGCTACCTCCGCGGGCAAGGAATCTGGCCACCTAAGCAAGCCACCAAGGAGTAGCAGCATCTTACATGTGTGAGCTGTATTTAATCAGTTCCTATAGCTCACCAAAGCCATCAAAATTGGTATTCTGTGTCCTTTATCATCTGAGGCTCCTTTTCCGTGTTGGCCTGGATGACAGGTCATTTCCTCTTACATGACAGGCTCGGACAGCTGGCTGCCTACTTGGGAGCTTGCACATGTGCAATTTAGTCTTGAATTTTCTGTCAGGGAAACTCCAAGCACAGCTTAAGCGTGCCTCCCTTTGAGCAAGTCCTAGGCCCTCTCTGCGTCCCGAATGGGACTGGCTGCCCTCATTCAAAGGAAGCCCAACCAAATATCCGTCTGAGGTTTGCACAAAGGACTCCTGATGCATCTGCCCATGATACAGGGGAAGTCTGCACAAGAAGCCCCCATGTCCTGGCTCTGGAGGGTTATTTGCTACGTGGAGGTGTTGGGGCTCCTCACTGTAAATCCGCAAGAAAATCAGAGCCTGAACACAGACTAGCAGCCTTTCCCCAGTAGCTCCAACTTAGCAAAGCTCAGACAGGCGGACACAGAAAGATAATAAAATAGCAACAACTAAAACCTTCCTTGAAACCTTGAAAAAACAACATCAAGATGATCCAACCTTCGATACACTCTTTTGATGCTAAGCATACTTGGAAAAGCTACCCCGGAAGGGGGCAGTTTTCCTTTCCCCTTCACAGGGAAATGGTCTCCTACAAGTTCATAATAAATCCTTCCTAAGAAGACAAGCTTACAGCAAATGAGCACCCCTGGCGTGGGGGGGGAGGGGGGGGAGGCTGAGTGCTCCTCCCACCTCCCCTCTTCCCTCCTGGCCAGCCTTGCTGGGAGGAGCTAGCAACATCACCTATCTCATGAATGAGCAAGTTCCCTACAGTCCTGTCGAGCTTGGGTTTTGGCAATCATTTTGGCAATAGCAACAGTGGCATTTGTGAATTTTCACATTTGTATGTTTACAACAAACCTCACATGACACTTCTACTCTGTTCTATAGGGCTGCTATGAGCTGGCATCGACCCAGTAGCAAGGGATCAGGTGTGCTGGGTTTAGCTGTCCCTCTTACCTGGTTTCATTTTTTTTCTTGTTACCTTTTCTCCTGAATTTCCATGGTCTCAAGGAAGAGAAAACAAAGCAGAGGAAGGAAGGCGGGGAAATTGGGGGGGGGAGGGAAGCTTTTGAAATGCTTTTCTTCCTTTTGCGTACCAAACCAAGTCTAACCAGGTCAGTCCTATACACAAATCGAACTGGTACAATGGTTCAAAGAACCCCAATTCCCTGCCAGGGCCTGGGAGGTTTCCTTTGGCGATGCGGACCAATGGCTCACCATCACAGGCAGGCTGGTGGAGCACATACGATCCTAGCTGAGACCCTTGCTGTCAGTCTCTGTCGCCTTCTGACAAAGAGCGGTGTCCCGCAAAGCCTTCTCTCACCGCCCCGACCCCTCAGATGGACAGCGCTGACCTCTGGTCAATAAGAAGCTCCCTGGGACAACCCGGAGTGGAAGGGTGGACAGGGACTATTTCTGTGATACAACTACCTGTCTAAAGACTGACTCTCCCAAATAGTCGGTCGGGTTATCCCCAACATATTTGGGGCTCTCCTAGATCCCCTAGCTGGGGTTTGGAGGAAGCCTCTCTGCGTGTGGCATTGCTCATTGCACAAAGTTGGTACTTCTCAAATGTTTGTTGGATGCATATGGAAAAACACAAATTCATCTTATTGGGATATTCACTTTGACAGAAGCCTTTCCCTCCCCCCACCCCACCCTCACAGGCACGCACACACACTCTGCAGGCTTATAGAGAGATTGCTGAAGCTTTGCCGTGGCATATTGAGGTGTGTGTGATGTCACACCAAGACTCTAGAAACATTGGTCCCTACCACGCCTACCAGCAGCAAGTATACACACAACCCTTACCCACCAAGAAGATGTCTCATGAGCTGGCTTCCTCTTGGAAGAGGCTAAGAAAGAGGGAACATGCCCGCACTTAGAAAACTCCATTTTGCTTTTGCTTGACTTGCCACATCCTCTCCCTCAGTGGGGCGGGCCACGGGACAGGGACAGCTTGGGGAATGAGAAAGGTGGGCTGGGGGAAGCAATGGCTGAGTTGCTTACCGGCCAGCGAGCAGCAAGGACAGGCGGTTGATAGGCGTCTCGCCCTCCACAGCATAGGTCTGCTCCGTGGCCAGCCCCAAGACCTGCTCCTTGCAGCAGTGCACGATCTCCTTGTATGCCCGGGGGGGCACCCGCAGCGGCAGGCACAGAGTCTGATAGAGGAGGTGGAACTCCTTGGGCATGGTTTCCTCACGCAGGCGGTACGCCAGGTGTGCCAGCTGGGACAGACAGGCGATTGCCAGCAGGGAGGCCCCCAGGGTGATGTTCAAGCTGCAGGCATGGAAGTAGCCCCACAGCACGTAACACAGGTAGCCTGTGCCCAAGAAGCCAAAGAGGTAGAAGCAACCATACACCCCGCTGCCCCCCATGAAGCCCAGAAGCAGGAAGAGGTTAGCCAGGTGGTAGAGAGCCCCTTCCATATCCTGCCTCCAGCCAACACACACTGGTCTCAGCCAGAGTTGCTGGCTCACCATGCTGCTGCTGGCCCCCATCTTCCAGCGGCTGGAGGCTTTCCTAAGTGCTCAAATTGCCCCCTTGGAGGAGACTGGAGTCGGAGTTGCCTGCCCGCCCAGGTCCCCTCACCTCCGCCTGCTTAGTACCAGCGCCTCCTTTCTTGGACGGAGTGCTCCCTGTAGCTTTGGGAATGACTGGCATAATCTAGCAACCTTCATGGAGAATTCTAAAGCCGCCCCTCACCCCCACCCTGCCCCTCTCTCTTTCCCTCAGCACAGCTCTGCTTCTCCCCACAGAGCTCTGGTGGTCTTTCTGAGCTCCAGTTTCCTTAGCACAATCTTCTAACTTGGTTCTCAGTGGGAGAATGAAGACATCCCAAGAAAGGGTAGTCCACAGGGCAGAACTCTTCGGTGGAGTATGGGACGAAGTGACCACATGCTGCTCTGTGCTGTCCCCGGGCCGAATGAAGAGAGCCCCGGGCTGGAGCACACTGTGTTCCATCTGGAATGCATCCCTCTTGGCACCGGAAGGAAGGGTGACCCCAGATGGATACCATGTTTGGAATTGGAATCCCTGAGGTACTGGCAGTGAGAGAAAACAGGCCAGGCACACAGGCAGGCTGGCAGAGCACTTAACATACCTCCAGAGAGGACAAGATAAGACGTGGGGACAAGAAGAGGGAGGCTGGGAGGGACAGAGCAAAAGCAAGCCAACCATTTATCACCACAGGCAGGACACTGTCCAGGGCTGACTGGAGGCGCCTCGGGAGGCTCTCTGAGGTGGCAGAACACATCTAACTAGAAAAATACGGGACCCTCACCAGAAAAACTCTTAATAGTAAAAAACGGAGAGCCCCTTTAAAGCCTCTGTGGAGTCACGTTGTAAATAGCATTAAGCACGTGTGCACTACAAACCCAAAGCAGTGATGATGCGAAGCAACTCCCTGAATTCGAGGCGGCCGTTCTAGGTGCCCTTGAGTCAGTTGTGCCCGAGAGTCAGAGGACAACTGCCCCCTGGGGTTTTCTGGGCTGTCTGCCTTGCCTTCAGGGAGCACGCCCCCTCCCCCAGTTCTTCCTCCCACAGAGGGGCTGGGGGGTACCAAGGGCCCGCCTTTCCCACAGGAGCTGAGCACTGATGGGACCCTGACGGCACCTTCGAGTCCACTCCAGGACTAATTAATCCGACGATGAGGGCTTGCCCAGACCATCACCCAGGCCTCCCTATCTTTCCACATAGGGAGAATCACCTCCACACATCCGGCACTGTTGCGGATACAGCTCTAAGGAGTCCTGGGAGTACAACAGATGAGCTTCAAGGTCGCTGGTGAAAAGTGCCACCATTTGCTCCTGGGGAGAATGATGAAGCTGTCTGCTCCTGTAAAGATGCACAGCCTCAGACACCTACCCTGCTTCCCCGAAAATGACAGCGTCCTATGTTAATTTTTGCTCCCAAAGATGCGCTAGGTCTTATTTTCAGGGGATATCTTATTTTTCCACGAAGAATACAGTATACATTTATTGTTGAACAACAAAAAAGGAAATTTATTACCTGTATACGGTATGGTAGTAGTTGTCATCACAAACCAGCATAACCAGACAAACTGTGAAGCCTACAGTATCAAGAATTTCTTGTTACTACCATTATTTCCATGTACAACAAACTATGGTACATTTACTCATAATCTATGGTACATTTACTCACACTTCCTGTCTGCTCTGGCTGCACTGAGGCCAACAGTGAGCTGCACGGTGGTGCCCGCCGCTACAGTCCAGAGCCCAGAGTTACGGTAGATTCGGGGGGGCCTTATGTTCAGGGAGGTCTTATTTTCAGGGGGGTGTCTTATATTTCAGCGAGAAGCAAAACTGTAAGTAGGTCTTATTTTCGGGGGATGTCTTACTTTCAGGAAACACAGTATCTAAGGTCGCTGTGAGTCCGAATCAACTGGATGGCCAAATCAAAAACCAAACTCGCTGCCATCGAGTGGATACTGACTCACCATGACCACCTGTGGTTTCTGAGGCTGTAGCTCTCTAAGGAAGAAGAAAGCCCAGTCGCTCTCCTGGGGAGCTGGATGGCAATGGGCTTTGAATTTTTTTGTTGTCGTTGTTAAGTCTACAGATCGAGTCTCATGCAGGGTCGCTCTACAAGTCAGAGTTAACTCCATGGCAGTGAGTATGCTGGAGCTCGCAGATCTAGACCTGGCCTGGAGACAGGCAGCCCTCTGGATCAGCGGGCTCGACACCTGTGGATTCAACCAATTGGGGGGCAGTGGGGCTGGGCAATTCATTAGTAATTCATTGACCATATATACTCGTGTATAAGCCAAGTTTTTCAACACATTTTCAATGCAGGTTTTGAGGTAAAATTAGGTGCACCAGCTGATATTCGGGTTGGCTTATACCCAAGTATATATGGTATGTAAGCTCCAGAGTCAAAGCATTCCCTCAAAGGCTAAGAAGCCGCAGAAAGTGCTATTTCCGTAGCATTTGCACTGCATTCGGCATTTTAAGTAATCTAGAGATAACGTCAAGTATTCAGGAGGATGTGCATAGGTTGATGCAAATAGTGCCATTTTCTACAAGGGACTTGAGCATCCTTGGACTTTAGTATCTGCAGGGACCTGGAACCAATCCCTCAGGGATACCCAAGGATGAATGTATGTTATTTACTCATCACAATTACCTTCAAAAATAAATATCATCCTCCTCAATCTGTAATTAATAGAGACTCGGAGAGATACCAAGACCCCACAGGCAGTAAGTGGCAGAACCAGAACTTGGTTTGGGGTCTAGCAGGATCACTGGGTGGCACCTAGATCCAGAATTCCCAACTCAGACTCCCTCCGTGGAGTCTGTTTGCCTCTCGATGTATCTGGGGAGCCACCTTGGACTGCTATGAAATATTAAACGAAGAAACTTGACTCCTGGGTTCTACATGGTCCTTTGCTGCTTCTTCCTTGACCCTGGACAAGCATTCACTGCCATTATTCTCATTGCCCCCAAGGTTTAGATGGGCACCCAGTGCCCTCTCAGGACTGTTCCACACTTGGTGTGTAAGGACGTTTACTCTATTGCTATACAAAACTCGCTGCCGTCAAGTTGATGCCAATGCATAGCGACCCTATAGGACAGGGCAGAACTGCCTCTGTGAGTTTCGAAACTGTAACTCCTTCCAGGAGTAGAAAACCCGTCTTTCTCCCCTGAGGGGCTGATGGTTTCCAACCTCTGACCTTGGGGTCGGAATGTTAAACTGTGAAAGTAGAAAGTTTCGAATATACTGACAAATGTCCAATTCAGTGCGCACTAATTGCTAATTCGGAGGCCAGAATTTGGGAACCAAAGATGAAAAGATGAGAAGCTTTCAATCCACCAAGACACAGATACCTCAGCAAGCAAGGACAATTCCGGGTGCAGCCCAATAGTGGAGGGAAGCTTCACACGCACACACGAACACTCACTGTCAATTCCATTCCAACTCCCCGCAGCCCTATAGGACACGGACTGTCCCAGCGGGTGTCCAAGACTGTAATTCTATTTTTTTAAAATCATTTTATTGGGGGTGGGTCCAGCTCTTATCACAATCCATACACACATCCATCCCGTCAAGCACATTTTTACATATGTTGCCATCGTCATTTTCAAAACATTTTGTTTCTACTTGAGCCCTTGGTATCAGCTCCTCATTCCCGCCCCCCCCTCCATCCCCCAAATTCCCACCCTCGTGAATCCTTGATCAATTATATATTATTATTTTGTATCTTACACTGTCCATTGTCTGCCTTCATCCACATTTCTGTTATTCGTCCCCTTGGCGGAGAGGGAGCTATATATCCAATCTTGTGATGGGTTCCTCCTTTCTCACCCTTCCCCTCCCTGACCATCCCCCTACCCTCATATCACTACTCCCATTACTGTTCCTGAGGGGTTTATCTTTCCTGAATTCCATGTATCCATAGTTCTTATCTGTACTCTGGTCTAGTCAGATTTGTAAGGTAGAGCTGGGTCATTGTAGGTGGGTGTGGGGGGGGGAAAGTAGGGGGGGGAGAGTTGGGGAGAGTACTCAGGAACTAGAGGAATGGTGTGCGATTCATCGGTGCTGTACTACACCTTGGTTGAATCATCCCTTCTTTATAACCCTTCTGTTTGGGGATATCAAGCTCCTTATTTAACTAAAAGCAACAGGCCAACAAAAAGGCATCTTATTCCCTACTTTCTAAAATTAAGGGGGGGGGGCCTAAATAGTAAAGGAAAAGAGCCACAGTTCCCAGAGATGAAAGTACCCCAGGCCCCCCTTAGGCACAGGATGCCATTAACAACAGTGACGTTTGGGCACTGTAACCCTTTCACGTTACCCTGCTAAGTCTACTATGCATGTTATGCCTTACTGTTGTGGGTGCCGTACATGTGAAAATAATGTGGTATTTCCACATATTTGTTGATTGCTACAGAGACTGAGTAGGCTGGTGTGAGACGACCCAAAAACAAAACACCCCAATGTGAGCCCGTTGCAGTCAAGACAATTCCAGCCCATGGGTCACCGTGTGGTCATGGCGGACGTGAGCTCAAGGGCTATTCCTCCCTGTCATCGCGATGGGACTAGACTGCCCGGCTTTTCTACCGTAGTGACACTGGGGGCGGGGATGGGGGTGGGGGGGTGACTTACACCACTACCCTTCTTGCAGTTTGCCCCTGCATGACGACCTTTGTGAGGGGTCCATGCACAAACCCCACAGGTTACCAGCAGTGATTGTGGCACTGGTGTCTAGGATATGAGATTCGTTTATTGCAATACCACGGAGAGCTATAGCTTATTTATTGTTGTGGATTTTTTAAACCTACATTTGAGAGAAAATGTTTTTTTAAATTGTCTGTGTCAAAACACAATGTCCAATTTGTCCACAATCATGCAAGTAGGGGCACAGTAGAAACTATTTGGAGGAGAATAAAAGGAAAAGAAAAACAAACAAACAAAAATCCCACCACCTCGACATGCGTCAATTTGTTAAGTGGATAGAATTCTATAAGCATTTATTCAGGACAAATTCTGTGCACCAGGGCATATAAAGGTGAACAAGACAATTATCACCTTCAAGGAACTTCTGGTGTAAGGGGACACTACCTGCAATCCAATAAAACACTCTGCTGAGGGTTGACAGGCATCACTGATGGAGGAGCAAGTAATCCTGGGAAAGACAGCCACGGATCAGGTGGCATTTAAGCCAGTCTGAAAAGATGAGCAGGGAGAACATTCCAGGAAGAGGAACAGAATGTGAAGGAACCAAGAAGCAAAACAAAACGATGCGGCACACTCTGACGAGAGAACAGCTTGGTGTAGGTGAAATCAGGGCAGCAGGGCACGAAGCAGGAGAGGCAGGCGGGTCCAGGCCAGATGATGAAGTCAGCACAAGGGTGGCCATGAACCATTGCTGGTCTATAAGCTATTTGCTCCTGGTACATGATGAGTTAAGTACAGGTAATGAGGCTGTTTAGATGTTTTCATAACAATTGACAGATGTATGATTTTTTAATTTAATAACAAAAATGTGGGGTTTGTACACTGTATTTTTTTAAGTGGATGGATTAGTTTAAAATGTCATTTTGCTAGAATTGATCTTTGGTAGAACAGAGAAAAGAGGGGGTGGGGATGGTCCTTAACCAGTTTTGATTAGAGATTATATTTTTCCTAATATTCAAATGCAACCCAGGCATGAACTTCAGCTTTGGACACATACTGTCATATGGCTTTAAAGGCAGAAACCATTAGATCCATAACCAAGTCATTTCTCTTTTACCTTAGCTTATGCAATGCTGACATAGCTAGCTGTTGAGCATGCGCTGTTTAGACCCCACCAAAGCTCCAAACTCATTGCCATCAAATTGGTTCTAACTTCTAATGACCTTCTAAGACCAGGTAGAACTGCCCCCTGAATTTCCGGGACCGGAACTCTTTATGGGAGTAGAAAGCTCTGTTGTTTCTCCTGTGGAGCTGGCTAGTTTTGAACTGCTTACCTTGTGGTTAGCAGTCCAACATGCAACCCATATGTCACCAGGGTTCTTGCATAGTTAAAATGCTTAGCCAATACTTTTCTCTTTTTCCAACGGTTTGAATAAACTCATTCAAGATGACCTCATTAAGTGAACAAAGTGGTTCACTTACAATTGCCATTTATCACTTCCTCTTTTGTAATAGAATGTTTTGTTTAAAAATCTAACCTACACCTTGCTCTAAAGAGTGGGAGCCCATTTAATCAATCAGCATAAAGCATTCTGCCAACAAATATTACTGGCTATAAGAGTATGCAAAGGCCCTGTGGTCAGTGGCTTAGGTTGGGCTGCTAACTGCAAGGTTAGCAGTTTGAATCCAGGGACTGCTGTATGGAAGATGTGGCTAGCTACTCCTGTAGTTAGCCTTGGGAATCCACAGGGGCAGTTCTACTCCATCTCATAGGGTCAGTGGGTCGGAATTGTCTCAGTGGCAGTGAGTGGGGAAGGGAAGAATCCATGTTTCCGGAATGGTTTCTTTTCTGCCAGACTTGAATGGGAAAGCAAGTGATTATCCTCATCAGTCCTAGAAAAGTCTGAGGTGAAAATAACTTGGATCTTGGGTAGCAACACTGTCTGATATCATTGCATCCGGAGCTTGCCGGGCCCGGCTCCCAGTGAAGTGAGACTTTTCCTGGATCAGGACTTGTCTGTGACTTGCTGTAGGAAGGCACCACAATCGACAGATCAAACCATCAACTACGTTTTGAATGGCTAGCGCGACAAACACCAGATATAGTCACACAGGTACTCTTTTCAGGTAAACATTTTAGAGAAAGTGTCCAAATATTCATTAAAAATAAAAAAGCACCTTCACAAGGAATATCTTATGGCACTGAGCATTTTATTGTTATGGCTTTTATTCATACACCACCAGACGATAAGCTCCTTAAAAACAGGGTCCACGCATGCCTCACTGTCTTTGAACATCACATAGCACAGAGTTGGCAAAGAGTGGGTTCTCAGTAAATGCTGAATTAGTCTCTCATCTCTTTGAGGATAGGATGTCTGATTCACACACGAATATTCAACACCCAGGGCAGTTTCTAACACATGGTGTTAGCGGCCTTTCCAGTGGAACAACTACTGGCACAGCTCATGACAGCCACTACCTGCTCGTCAGTGAGAGCGTGTGTGTTGTAGGATGAACGAGCTCCAGCAGAACTTCCAGACTCAGGTTGGTAGGAAAGCCTGGAGATCCAGTTCTGAAAATCAGCCAATCAAAATCCTGTGGATTACAATGATCTGCAGTCAATGGGGCTGGTGCAGCAGCAGATAGTGTTTTGCTGTCTTATATATGCGGTTGCCAGGATTCAGGAGTGGACTCCACAGCAGCCGACACTGGGAACATGGGGCTTACATTCTAAAGGCCGAGACTCACATCTTGCCCCATTAGCCATTTATTAGGGCAGTTTTCCTTAGCTGAGAACCTGTACTCACCTATAAGATGGGGATTACTGTTTCTGTACCAGCCTCACATCAGAGCAGTGGAAGGACAGGTCTAGGAATATGGTCCTGTTCTCATCCACTCTCAGGTTACATGCTAAGTCTGGACAGATAACAGAATAGAGTGCACACACCTACACTAAGAGAACAGTTACTGTGAGAGACGGAGACTTAGCAAATAGGGTATGCCAAAGTGTGGTGGTGAAATCACTAGGCTAAGTTCTTCCATTTTCAGATTGCTGTGGTACCATCGCTTACTGATATGAGGATGGGAATGCTGCCCCTATCATTGGGCAGACTTTGCAGCTCAGATGAGCAGGGGTTCTTGTGAGCTGTATTTCTCACTGCAGCAGACGTCATGAGTGCTTTACATATCAGGCAGGTGGATCGGAGGCACAGGCTAAAAATTCATGTGCTGCTAAGGGTTTGAGGAAACAGAAACTCCGAGATGCAAGACACTTTCCTAGCTCATAGGCTGTACACATCCTTAGCTCTGAAAACATGCATGACCTCTAGCTCATTCTTAGCTGGGTGGTTAGCAAAGAATGTTTATAATGACTTTCCTGTAGACTTCCCCTGCAGTGTTGTTGTAAAGTAGCCAAAAAGAGTAGCATGTGTACACACAGATTTATAAAAAGTCAACAAAAAGTACCCTCATTATACACCAGTAGGACTTCAGGTGATTCCTTCCTGTCTTCCTTATGTTTCCATAAAACCAATAGAATAAAATAAAAATGGTAATTTAGGTAATCTGGTAAAATGTCTTATTCAAAGCTGAGGCCCAGTTCTTGAAGAGCAACTGGCACAAAGCATGCATTCTATAAAACATTTAGTGAATAAACACACACACAATAGGGAATTGGTTGAATTACGGGAAGCCACATGGTTCTATACAATGCAGAAGTAAACTCACTGATGGGCTTATTAAGGGGAAAAGGCAAAAACGTAAACATTATGATCTTGTTAAAAATATGTAGCAATGAAAACAGATCTCATTTTCCTTTTGAAAAATATAAACACACAGGAAGTTTGGAACATGTACCAAAAACTAGTACTGAGTTATGGATTTTTCCCCTTCTTATAATCACAGGACATATTCAAGCAGAGTCTAGATAATCATCTGCCGGGGATCTAGCTGAACTACCCTGCTACCCCGAAAGTAAGACATCCCCTGAAAATAAGACCTACTTACAGTTTTGCCTCTCGCTGAACTATAAGGCATCCCCCAAAGTACGGTAAGTCTGGACTCTGGACCGTAGGCCACTGCTCACTGTTGGCCTCAGTGCGGCCAGAGCAGACAGTAAGTGCAAGGTCTCTTTTAATAAAACAATAAATGTGTACCGTATTCTTCTTCATGGGGAAAAATAAGACATACCCTGAAAATAAGACCTAGTACATCTTTGGGAGCAAAAATTAATATGGCACTGTCTTATTTTCAGGAAAACAGGGTAGGTGGGAGGCTAGCTCACACTTTAGACTCTGTTATTTCACCCAAAGTTCTCTGTATACTAGAATTTACTAACATACAAGTTTTCTATTCAAGTAAACATGTGACATGAATAAAGAATCAAAGAATTAGTGTTAATAACACTACATATATAATTTTAATTATTTACCCACTCCCTAGGTTTTTACTGCTCTCCCCTTCTCTTACCTTTGTTCTCAGATGAGAAAAGGACCCAAGGCTGGTTGACTGGAGCTAACATAGACACCTGTGAAATTTGTTTGCTTTTTAGAGGCGGAAATTTTCCTTCACACAATGAGATACACATATGCTACGTATACTCATTTACCTTTGTCATCATCTTTTGGCCTAACCAATTAGTAAAGAACATTAATTTGGAAGGTCTGTCCAGTTCTTATCTTTAAGCAAGTTGAAAATAAAAACCACACATTCATTCTGAATGAGATCTCCTAAGGCCACCATACTCATCCTAAATTGATAAAGAGCTATTTTTCTTACTTCCACGAACCCGCTTTTGGAGATTTCATTAAATAAGACCAGTATCTGTTTCTCCCTTGAAAATGCATATGGAGTTCCCAGGATGACACAGTAAAAAGAAAACAAACTTGCACTACAAATCTTTTTATAGTGTATGCCTTATGAAAACATACCAAAAAGTCATGTGAGGAACATAAAAAGAAACTCTTCTGGAGACTTTTGACCAGCGATATATATATTTTAATAAATTATAAATACTTTCTCCATTTATCAAAACATTATAGACTTCTCAATGTTTTCTAACATTCTTCACCGTTCCGGAATTATTCAGAGTAGACTACCTAAGAAAAAGATGTAGAGAGTCAATTTTTCAAACATCATGCATTAAAGAATTCTGACCCCTAGAAATGAATGCCTCCACTAGCTATTATTAACTAACTGCTATACATAACTCTGAGATTACACACCGACAAAAAAAAAATCCCTATTTTTAGTTTTGTCTAGCTAAAAGCATCACTGTAGCAGTACAATTCATTACTGTTGAATCTTTAGAAACACTTGTTAAAGTAAAGGGAATTTATATTTACTTTCTTAAAAGCAGCTTGTAAAAAAGCCTACAGCAGTTTATTTCTACAGATATCTAAGAGAAGACTTGCAAACCCTTCCTTGCTGACTCAAGTATGTCTGGCAAGGTCCGTGAGGTGGAAGGCAGCTGTACAGACCAGATTGTGCGGGTTAGGGCCGAGCTCACCACAATCAAGTGCATGCCACGTGCGATACAGCACGTTCCCGGTCCTCACAAGTTTCCACAACACCCTAGTCAATTTAAGTGTGCGACAGGGTAATGATAAAGTGTGAAATATTCTGATAATCACCAAAATCAAAGACACGAAGTGAGCACTGGCTATTGGAAAAATGATGCCGACAGACTTGCCAGACTGCGCTGCGGGGAACCTTCAATTTGTAAAAGACGGCAGTATCTGCAAAGTGTAATAAAATGAGCTGTGCCGCTATGAGATTTTACCATGCGGCCAACCTCCTAGTTATTCAGTCATGGATTCTTACTTAGCAGTAGGGTTTTCTAATTTGCATTCATAATAGTTTAGTTTTAAGATTGAAGATCAAGATTTTATGCAATCCTAATAATGCCTACGTTGACAATAAAACCTCATTAAGCTGAGGAGTAAAGTGCCGGTGGACTGGAGAATATTAAGGACCGAAAGCCTTGGAGTCCGGTTGTAATTCCAGCACCTATCCACTATGAAGGAGTTCTGGTGGCACAGTGGTTAAGCACGTGGCTGCGAAGCAAAAGGGGGGCAGCTTGAACCCACCAGCATCTCCGAGGGAGAAAGATGCGGCAGCCTGCTCCTGTAGACAATCACAGCCTGAGGAAGCCTCGGGGTGGCCCTCCTCTGTCTTAGAGTCACTGCTTCAGAAGCACCCTTTGCTTTCTCGACTCTTAATTTTAGGAAGTCCTTTCTTTACCCAGTGATCTGCTTTCATTTCCCCACAGGGGTTAGGGAGATGGGCTATCTGGGATCAACTAGATCTAAACACCCATTCCTATCCCAAAAGTACTAATTCACAGAAGGTGAGAACATGACTTTTAAAGAAAGGTATGGATTCAGATTGTTGTTCTTATAACTAGGATTCAAAAAGAATCAGGTCATATGTTCAACAGACATCAAATAAATACCTGCTATCTACAACTCTGAAGGTATTAGCCATTTTGTTCTAGCTTCTAGTTTTAGGGTCCGCCAAGCACATTCACACATCTTTCTATCATTTAACCACCTTCACAGCACTACAAAGTGGTTGGGACATGTGTTACTACTCTGTTTCACAGTTGAGGACACTAAGGTTCAGAAAGGACTTGCCCAAGAGCACACAATCAAAGTTGCTGCATTTCATTGTATGGACGTGTAAAGCAAAGAGGAATTGCCCTCACTTTCTCTCCTATTAACACAGAGAAAACCACAACACTTTCTGGTTCCCTGAAGACACAACGCTTACAAGAGACAAATGTAGCACCTTGGTGGCCCACATAAAGTTTAAGATACTTTTGATGCTTCGAAATCCAGCAATTCTTTTAATTACTCTTTTTAGTAAGGCAGGACTGCTACAACTAAGTTGTTTATTTATGAACAAAGAAATCATGTACAGTGAGGTTTCCACATCTTTTAAAGTAGTTAATGGGTCTATGGGTATAGGTGTGTGTGTAGAGAGAACCCCTTCCTGCCTCAAATTAATTTTACAAAGTAATTCACCATGAGATTGCTTTAAGCAACCTGCTAATCTGAAAAACATTTAAGATCATGGATACCGAAGCAAACTCATGGCTGATGAGTCAACTCTGAGTCATAATCCATCTTACAGAAAGAGACCTGCCCCATAGGTTTCCTAGGCTGTACTCTCGGTGGAAGCAGAGCACCACTTCTTTCTCCTGCAGAGCAGCTGGTGGGTTCACACCGACAAGTCTTTAGTAAGCAGGTGAGCGCTTAACCCCTGCACCACGGGGCTCCTTACAGGGACAGCTTCTCATAATCAAACAGAGCAAGAATTTTCCACTCACTAGGTCTAGGCCCAGCTTCCCCCACTCCACCCCCTCAACCCGACACTGTCTGTTCAGCATCACCTCTCACTTGGACTGAACTTCCCAGAGAAACTAACTACAGACACTTTCCGAAATTAGGTCATGTGTGCCTTTATCCAAACCATGCTTTTTTTTTGCTGCCTAGAATGCCCAAGTATTAAGTGAACCATACTCTACACATTGTGAAGCACAGTATGGCTCTCTTTATAACTGAAGACACCGAAATCCAGAGAGGATCACCGGCTTGATCATGCACAGTAAGCTTGACGTCACAATGACAGAAGGGAAATCAAGCCTCCAGACTCAACCTGTACCGTTTCCACCACCAGTTGAGACTTCTCATCAGCTCAGGGCAACTCCTTTTCTCTCCTTCCTACAGCTCAGTGAGGAAGACTGGCCCTGAAATTCCTAAGCGGCAGGGCTTCAAGGTGAAAGGGAAAGACGAGTCCTCTCTCTGACATTGGTATGCAGCCTTGGTGTTATCTCAGCTATTGTTAAGGTCAAAGGGGCTACTTTAGGGGTAGGGGCACACAGCAGCCTGGAGATGAAGGTTCCATTTAGAGCCATTAGGCCAGGATAATAGTTACTGCCTTGGGGGGCCGGGGGGTAGTGCCACAAAAGCAGATAGCTCCAAATTACAATTTATTCTGGATTATCGGGTACAGTATAAGTTTTTAACTGTTGGGGGTGGGGGTGTGCACAGAGATTTTCTGACAAGGGGGCAGTAGGCCAAGTGAGAACCCACGCTTTAGGCCTTACTTCCCTCATTCATGAGCAAGCCTCTAGGGAGCACCCACTATGTGCTAGCTACTGCTATAGATGCTCACCGACACCTAAAAAAAGTGAGGGACCCGAGGCAACAGCTCCTAAACAAGAGGAAATCATTCATTTGTGGCGTGGCTGGGTACCCTGTCACTTGAAATCTCTCTCAGCATTCAAATTTGGATTAAAAGCTCAAAGTTATTCAGAAAATGGTGTGAGGTTTAAATTTTCTAAGAGTGAAGCTTGGTATAAAATGCCACGCTTTTTGTTTTACAAAAACAAGGCATCCTTGGGTTGCTTATTCCCTATTTAAAAGCACTTCCCAAAAGTACTCAGGAAGAAATAACACTTTCCTTTTACTGCCTCTCAATCAGACAACTGGGGATTTTGAACTTGCCAGAGCTACAATTCCTTCTGACACAGCTAAATTCCCACTTCCTAAGTCCTCTGAATGCCTCACAACTGTTGGCAGCATTCATTCCCCATATAGTGAACTGCAAAGTCCTTCTTTTCATTGATACTTAAGCACATTACATTAACCTGGGGGTCTCAAAGCCACCAATTTCACTTCTGAATGGCCTTCCAAACAGAGTATCGCAGAATGGAGGCTAAATCTGTAAAGCAAAGCTCAAACCGGAAGCAAAAAGCTTGCATATTACCTTGCCAAGCCCAACTGCTCGCCATTTCAAATCTTAAATCCCAGGGCTCTCATGCACTCCTTGTGGGCCTCAATCAGGTGTCCACAGTGTTCTTCTCCTTTCTCAATGATGCTAGAAGACAAAATTGACTTGTTATTTGACAAAGTGGGCATGAACCACTTCATTAAATATGCATGCACAACAGGGACAGGGATGAGGTAGAACAGGGGTATGCTGAATACAACAGTGACAGGGATGAGGTAGAACAGGGGTATGCTGAATACGGCGTCAGACTTTTGAAAAACGACACTATGCCAGCTGACATTGCAACTGTTTTTATTGTATCTTGTAAAATCCTCCTGACCAGAAAGGTGGTCCACCGAGAACTACTTTGGGGTACCTGATCTGAACTGTGAGGATGGCCCAGGATGGGGCAGTGTTTCACTCTGCTGGGCACAGGGTCACTCTGGGTTGGAACGGACTCGATGGCACCTAAGAACAGGAACTGGCCTGAAGAAATAATTAAGCCTGTGCTACACTGCCTCTGACTCAGAACCCGGGAAGAAACGGCTCAAATAGAAGGGGCCCTGGTGGCACAGAGGGTGCTGTGGGAGAAAGATGAGGCTGCCTGCTCTGGCCCAGAGTCAGTCTCACAACTCTATAGAGCCCTTCTACTCTGTGACAGGGTTTCTGGGAGCTGCAAGGCAGTGAGTGAATCACTTACAATGAAATACACTGACTGAATGAAGTATTTGTTAACAGAAGGTCAAAGAGAAAAGCTTCATTTTCCACACTACCAGAGGAATTAACTTTCTGATTCTGCCCTACAGCCAACTACCAATTAGTTAAATCTACTTCTGATCAAAAGATATCTGGGAAAAAAAAATCTGAGAGCCAGGAGCAGCAAGATGAGCCACTTCACACTGATCAGAAATCTTACAACATTCACAAAAGAGACTAGAACCACTCAGCTTTAGTTCTAGGGAGAACGTAACTTTAACAACAAATAAATCTGAATTTCGTAAAAAAAGGAAAAACTCACTCCTGACTTTTTATTGGAGAGAAGTTATAGAGGTCTGAAGCAGTTAATGCAAAAGGAATTCAAGAATAAAATAACTTCTCCCTTTGATGATGCTCAACTAAACCCAAAGGTTTGGAAGTTCCAGTCAGTCCAGAGGTTATCTCAGAAGAAAGGCCTGGCATGCTCCTGAAAAAAGTCAGGCACTGAAAACTCAACAGAGTTGATACACATGGGGATGCCACATTGGAGACGCTATAGAAAGTGGTACCAGTTTCTAAATCCTACCTATCCTTATTTATTTAACACTTTTAGATAGACTACCCATCATTTGATAGTTTGCTCCAGGGGAGGCTGTCTGAAAGTGGGAGACATTGTCATGGACACAGCGCCCTGTGAAGATACAGCTCACCTTCACTGAGCATTTACTACTCAGTGCCTGGTATTCTACTCATCAGTCCGTACAGTAATTCTGGAGGCAGATACTTTTATTAGGCCCAATAGGTAATATGCTCAATGTCACTAAATTGGTGAACCTGGATTCAAATCTGGACTCTTCTTATTTCAAGCTCATTGATACTATACACTCTGAAGGTTCAATAAATACTTGTATAGAGGCAAGTACAGTATCAGATCTTCCAAGTCTCCTCCCTTCACAGCAATAGCTGGAAAGTAACGAGTATTAATAGAAGCACTGTGCTCCTGAACTCATTACCTGATTATGCCACTGATGTCTACGTGAGGACAAAAGGGGGGAAGTCATAGGGTCAAGAGGTGCACTTATATGTCTGAGTCATTCTAGTAAGATTTCGAGGCGACATAAAATGAAAAACTCTTTGGTGGATCGATAATCATCGTTATGTGTTATTCTGAATACTAAATAGTCACCTAAATACTAGACTGGTTAATTTCTAAATCATCTGCCTTTAAAAAAAACCCACGAAACTCCCTTTCGGTCAAAGGGCAGTAAGGAAGGAGCAGTCCCTGGACGCTCCCGCTTCAGTCTTACCCAGCTTGCTCTGAGAGTCCCTCTTAGGCGGTATATCCACCATAATGCGTCTCCATTAACTCTAGGCTGACTTGCTGACTTCAGGCCACAAGGTCTCTTTAACCCCTTGTAGACCTGCAGACCCGAACGCTCCCAGGTGTTCAAAACGGTCGCCGAAAGGAACGAGCGAGCCAAGGGCGCCTCGGGTGAGTCTGCCCTTCCTCCACTGCCCTTGCCAAGAGCCCAGGTTAAGCATGTGCCCCAAGCAAGCCAGGCGACGCCGGGAAGCCCCTGCCGAGCCGCGCTCGCCGTCAGGCTCCGGCCGAGCCCGGGGCGCGCATTGGCGCCGGAACCCGCGCGGCGGCGCCCTTGCCGGCGGCGCACTGACCATGCGTCGCGCGCCTTCTTGGTCTCGGGGCAGGCGCAGCAAGGCCGGAGCGGCTTCTTCTCCTGCGGCGCAGGCGGGCCCGGGCTTGCGGCCGCCAGATCTGGCATGTTTGGTGCCGAAAGAAGCTCCCGTTACAAACCAAAGAGCGCCCTCAACTCCCCGCGCTCCGGGAAACACCGCCACTTCCGCCTGTCGCACGCGGGGAAAGGGACAGGAAGTCCCGCCTCTCTCACAGCGGGGCGGGGAGGAGAGGGAGGCGCGCGTGCGCACTGTGCACGGCCGTGGCTGGGTCACAGCCGGCGTTCCTCTTCAGCGCAGGCGCAGAGGTCGGGTCCAAGGTCAAGGTTATTGTACACCAATTTATGAGCGCTAGGAATGATTGACGCGTTGGCCTGCTGACCACAAGATCAGCAGTTGGAAACCACAGCTCGCCGGCGAGAGACCTGTAAAGAGTTCCTTAGCGTCTCGGACACTCCCAGGACAGTTCTACTTACCCTGTCCTGGGGGATCCCCAAGGAGTTAGGCTTGACTTGGTAGCAGTGAGTTTGGAGTTTGGGGGGAGGAATTACTGAAAATGCAAATCGCCTCAGGTTTTTGTTTTGTGTTCCCATCCTCCAGCCCCACAAATGTCAAAACTGAAGGCCCAGGACGTGAAATGACTTGTTTAAGCTAAAGGAGAGAATTTTAATTAAAGGGGGTGCAAAAGTTAGTTGGCTGTTAGTCAACAATGGAAATGTCACATCATTTGGGATTCAGTCTGTTGACATTTCCTTTGTTAAAAGGGACCCAGAAGATAACAAACTTCTCCCCTATAGTAATTAATTCGCTATAGTAAAAAATTCCTTTAAAACCTGTTAATTATTCCCAGCCTGGGCCTGTTGCAAAACCTGTTCACTGTTCTAAGATGCTTTAATTCAAGAAAGGGGAAGAAGGGCCCTGTAGATAGGCAATGGACCCCAAAGCCTTAGGGGGTATTTGGGCTGGCAGCCCCTGGAATAAGGCAGATACCCATTTTCTTGGAGTAAGGAAGATAGCAATTGATGGTGTGAATTCCTTAGGGGAAATGTTAACTGTTTTCCTCTGAACCTAGATCCCTTTTGTCCCATTCCTTGGAAGTCCTCTGGTTATTGTAAAACTTGTTAATTACCTCCTGGGACTATTGGAAAGCCTGTTTCTTATCATATAGTTTAAGGCATGTAAATTGCATGATTTTGAATCATTTTGGAGGCAGCATATCCAACTGTTTCCTTCTGTCAGCACTGGCAGAAATAGAGTTAGAATTTCTCGAATCAACCTGGTCTCTGTCTTTGGCTGTAACATGGACAGGCTCTCCCAGACCCCTTGGCAAACCAGCAACAAAATCACTAGGGAGAGCTGGTGCCCTTGAGTAAATATATTTTTCCTATTTCATGCTAGGATATTATCCATCTGCTACTTGCCCCCCAGCCACCATTACTTTCCCTGACCTAGGTAAAAATATGTAGCAAAGGGATTTGAACAATCCAGTTCACTAGTGTTGGGGAAGAAAAAAGGACCTCCCCTTATACTTCAAATCATTAGTGAATTAGCATGTATGGCCCTGAATATACCGAGTCCTGGTGACTGCGGGCTAGGTGATGGACTGCTAATTGCAATGTCAGAAGTTCAAACCCACCAGCTGCTCTAGGGGAGAAAGATGAGTCTGTCAGAAACTGCCTGGGAAACTCTTATAGAAGGTCAGCAATGCATAGTCCTGAACATATTTATTTCAGAATGAAATATTCAATCATGGGGGGTATTATACCGGTTAATAAAACTGAAACTGCATATTTCTTAGGATTGCCTGGGTTCGGTTAAGTAGTGCCCATGTTATTTATTCAAGAAAATGAACAGAAACTCTTTTTAAAATATGACTTGGGGCATTGTTCAAAATAGCGACCCTACGTACAATAGAATGAAGCACTGCATGGTCTTGCCCGGTCCTTAAAATTGTTCCAATGCTTGAGTCCATTGTTGCTGCCACAGTGTCACTCCATCTCCTTGAGGGTCTTCCTCTCCCTCACTGCCCCTCCACTCATGAAGCATGATGTCCTTCTCCAGGGACTGGTTTCTCCTGACAATATGTCCAAAGTATGTAAGTCTTGCCATCCTTGCCTCTAAGGAGCACTCTAGCTGTACTTAATCAAGGACAGATTTGTTTGTCCTGTTAGCAGTCTGTGGTACTTTATTCCTTTATCAAGCTACCTAAATGCCTATTGCTTTGTGTGCTTCTGGGTATTAATGAAAATGTAGAGATATGAAATATATGAAATGAAATGTGTCCCATTCTTCAACATGAGAGATTTCAATAACCCACTTCCCCAAAGAAAACTCCAACAATGTTAGATAGCTTAATGAAAGACAAAATTGAGAGTTGGCATATGAAGACTACTAATAATGAAACTTAACCATTTCTCTGACAGAGATACTCAGGAGGTTAGTTTGATTAATAAATACCATTTGTATCAATTTTTCTCAGTTTTTATGTTTACCACCAAACAGAGGTGGATTACCCAGTATGCAACGTGAGCATGGGCTTACGATGAACAATTTCACATGTGTTTCGCCACGTGTTTGATGTCAGTAACATGCATAAGCCCATGCTTACCTTGCTTACTGGGTACTTCTTCCTTGTCAGGGCTGGTAAATTTGAAAAGAGACTTGGATTCTGTAGGAAGGTTCTGTGGGGTTGGGAGAGAAACAGATAGATGTCTGCCTTCCTGAAGCAGAATCTTGCCTGTGGTGACATGTGAAATTGTTCACGACAGATTAATAAGTAAGCTCAAGTAAGCCCATGTTTACCTTACTTATTGGGTAATTCCCCCCTGCCAGCAATACTTTGCTCTTTTAAGTCCCAGGGCCCCTTGCTATTGTTCTACTTGCTAAATTAATAGGCAGCAAAACTTGAAATGGTGACTATCGTGAATGTTTTTGTACTGCAGCGAATATGTTGCTGATTAGAACTGAGTAAGCGACCATGGCACTAAGCAACTGTCCCTGAATGCAATGACCACGTAGGTAATGAAACAGTCAGCACGCAGGAAGTGCTCTCTACCATCCCTGTACTGTCAGGCTCTCCTTAGCCATGCTTCACGCCTCACTAGCTCCAAGGATGGACTTTACTGTGCAGGGTCGGTGCTTGAGGCTGATGGAGGAGTGACACCATGTGCTGAGAGAGAAGAACGACAAGACCTAAATTTTCATTCAAGAGATTCACAGGCAACTTCGTTTACAATTTTATTTACTATTCTGGCTCTACCCCTGCCCCTGCCTCCCCCAATCCCCCCACCCAAATGCAGAGATATGGAAAATTGTCTTCCAATATGGTTAAGTACAACTTACCTACTAAGGAAATTTTATTAAGTAGCAAACATCACTCCCTAATAACAAGTTTCTTGTATATAAGGAAACTCAAAGACATGGCCCTAATCTCATGACAGTTGTATATTCGTCATCTCTTGCCATATGACAGTGTGACTGCAAACAGTGGTAATATGCATCAGCTGTCTTGCAGGATCTGGGCATGGTTTTAGTGGGGCCTCTGTTTAGGGTCTTAGGCAAAACTGCAATCAAGATACGGACCAAGCTGCAACCTAGGAAAGAAAATGCTTCTGACTGCACTTTGGTTGTTGCAAAATTCAGTTTCTTGGGCTTTTGCTGAATGTTGGTTGAAGGCCGCTCTCTGCTCCCAAGAGGCTACATATGGCTTCTGGCTACCTGGGATTCCCAACATACCCACTTGCTTTCTCAAAGCTAGCAAAGTGCTGAGAGACTCCAGCAAAATGAGCCCTACATTCTTAGCAGCATAATCAAATAATCATATAATCAAATAGTCCATCATTTTTGCCGTATACTGTTAGTTAGAGCTAGCGACACTTACCGACCTCACGTTCAAGAGGAGGGGATCTGTAGGGAAAATGAGCATCCCCAGGTGTCTGTCCTTGGCCAACTCCCAGACTACCCCTCACATTCAAGGCATAGCACCAGAGTTGACCACCAAGAACCCATTATCACCAAGGCCATGTTAAAGCAGCCGCCCACCAGGGTCACAGTCCTGCGCCCCCTAAGTAACTTTCCCATAAACAATAAAGTCTGTGTCTCCCAGAGTGACTCTGGTCTATTTATTCTTCAGGATCTCAGCACCTAGTACTCCAGAAGGACAATTCCTGTTCCCAGTGTGTCCTCAAGTTTCACACAAGAGCACAAACCACAGGAGGCAGGGACCAGGAGAATTTCCACCTCAAAATCAGAGCAAACCACAGGATATTGCTGGAACACTAACCAAAATCATGTTGGGGTGGGTTTTTTTTTTGTAAATTTAAAAATCCATCTAATAAGCCAGCTTAAACATAAAGTTGCTTTTCAAGTAATATTTATTTTGTCTTATTGAATCTACTTTTTTCAAAAATTACTAAATCGAAAGCAAATGTATTCAATACATGCTTCTGTATAAGGATGACAGTTGTAACACCCATTTCTATTCTTTATCATTACATTGTTTTATGTTTATAGATTTTGAAATGGATCCCAGATGTTAAAAGAAAACAACAGTTGCCTGGTTGCTGTCAAGTTAATTCTGATTCACGGTGACCTTGTGTATGTCAGAGTAGAACTACACTTCATAGTAATTTCGGTGACTGATTTTTTCCCTAAAGTAGATCACCTGGCCTTTCTTCCAAGGCACCCCTAGGTAGACTCAAAGCTCCAACCTTTCAGGTAACAGCTGAGTGTGATACCTATGCCATTCAGGGACTTCTTTCCACCAAACCACATTCACTGCCAGAAGTCGATGCTAACTCATCGCTATCCTGTAAGGGTAGAACTGTCTGTCCTCTGTGTTTCCAAGATTGTAGCTGTTTAGGGGAGTTGGAAGCCCAGTCTTTTTCCCAAGGTGTAGCTGGTGGTTTTGAACTGCTGACCTTGTAGTTAGCGGCCCAAAGCATGCCTACTGCCCACCAGGGCTCCTACTGGGACTCTTCCTAGATGTTACAAAAAAAAAAAAAAAAGCCTGCTCTCAAATCAACTCTGATTCAAAGTGACCTATAGGACCAAACAGAACTGCTCCCTAAAGGTTTCTGAGGTTATAATCTTTAGGGGAGGGGATGGCCTCATCCTGCTCCCTTCCAGTGGCCAGTGGGCTTGAACCTGACTTCTAGCAGCCCAGCCCATAACCCACG